AAATTAGACTAGGGGTAGATTTAAAATGTAACTCTATCCTATAGTCAATTTTTGTTGTTATTAAGAAAACCCAAAAAGGAGTAAATATTACACTTTGACCGAATCAACAACAATCAACAGGTATTTGAAAATATTTTCATCATATTATTGTTAATTACGATGTATTGGTAACACCGGCAACCAATTATTATAGACTGACGATCCAAACTTAATAAAAAAAAATATTTTTAAGCATTCTACTATCGTTACAGTGCTTTTATCGGTATTTGTATTTTTACCGTCTACAGATTCGCATCGAAGCATTTATAGAATGCCTTAATTTTAAGTTGAAAAGTATTGTACATTTTTTTGGGGTTTTTTTCTCGATTTTGAAAAGGTAAGGATGAACTTTCTAAATTTTTGGCTCAACAAATTACCATTCAGATACGATTTCTGATATATACGCTTGCTACACGAAGAAAACGGTTTAGCGGATTTTGAGATATTATCGTGGATCCAAATACAAAAAAATAAAAATACAATATCGAAAAACAAACTTTTTCAGTTTCGCATCGAAGCTAAAATAAAATTAAAAAAATAAAACAGTCCAAATATAAAAACAGCTTAAATGTATTAAACCATGTTTATAGTGTAAAAATGTTAAGCTGTTATTTTTTCCTTGTTATGCAATTTTTTAACCTATGCGAAATATTAATTAGCACAAGTCACAACCTTAGCATTCAAACACGTATTATAAATACTATTATTTAGCATTATTTTTAAGAATGAATACTCGGCGTTGGCCGTTGTCACATTGTCTTTTGTGCAATTCGTTGGAATAGAAAACTATTTTTGCTTAACACCGCTACATTCGGCATATTATCTCAATTTACCTATAACGTCTTCATAAAATCGTTTGTGTGTCGTGTGCTGTATGTATATTATTTCATGCATTAGCAAAACGTGTTCATACTATAATGATACATAGTAATATAGTAATCGACTATGTCGTTTATAATGTAACGCGTTGGCCGGTACATAATATAATAACAATCGGTCGTTAATTTGCCGCAATTTAATTTTAAAACTTTTAAACCCTCATATATAGTATAATAGTATGTACTTTGCCATGGGAAAGTTTGGGAGTATCCCTTTTGCTGCGGTGCGACGTCAGTATCGCAAAAGCCCCAAAGGAGGATCTTGCCCGTATAATGAGTGTTTACTTACCGCATCACCGGTGTTGAATTAGGGGAAGGTAGTTGGTTAGGTGTGTAATATGATATAGCAAGTGCGTTCTTTGCTCTAAGCTACTGATTTCCGTCTGCAGCACGACGTTTTGCTTTAAAATAACAGACAAGTGTATTATATTATATTATAATACCGTTGCATCGTCCAAACAAACGTCAAGATAATAGAACGTTGAAACTCTAGGTAGAAACCTCAAAAGCTTGAAAACGTCATAATAAGCTTATTAAACGTGCCTTTGATCCGTTGCGCTACACTGTACACAATATAAAGACATTTTCTGTTCAAACAGCTATAATGTTATTACTTAGTATTTATTATAACAACGGAGCTGTCTTTCACGAACGATTTCTCAATTTCATTATTTTTAATACTATACTCAAAGGTATTTTACAGTTTTTATGAATAAATCATTGTTTTCTTTAAACTCATAATACAGCTTAGTTACAATATTTAATATTTTATCATCTGCCAAATTTCTTACAAGGTGAATTAAAGTCTTTCTAACAAAGTACAGAGCTCAGAAATGATAAATTTTAAGCATATTTTTTTCATAAGAAATATTTAATCTATATGTTTGAAATATTAACTCAAGTTTAAGATATACATATACAGATTGTAAACAATTTCTTTTTTTTGAAAAATAAACATTTTTGTCGAAATTAGTTAGCTGTATGGTTTTTATGGTTAAACCGCTTTACCAAATTAAATGTGAAATTAACTTTGTGGGTCGCAACGCGTGTAATTTACTATTTGTTTTTACTTTTTATATACTTTGATTAAAACCGAAACTGATATGTGTTGATTTAGTGTGGACTAGGCTTAACACCTGTATTTCTATTGACGTAGTGCGATAGGATTACAGTTCACTGCCAATATATATATATATATATAGACTAATCAAGTTTGAAACCCCGGGAAGGGTTGCAATTACTTTCTCTAGACAGGCGCCTGTCCAGAGATAGAAACTGTCAATGACCGAGAGCTGAGTATGGACGACAGGTTAAGTGAGGTTCGACTATGAGGCTACTAATCTAATTGACTTTTACAGTATACGTTTCTGTAGTAAAATAATGTAAATAATAGTTTATAAATTATTATACTTACATATCTATTGCTAAGTATTTATAGATGCCCAAATATTAATTTTAAAAACAAGATAGAGTGTTGCGATTTTCAATGTCTAATGGAGTAATATATTATGTATTAAAAAAAAAAAATACCAGAAAGTTTCACTGACTAATAATTAAAACCTTTTCTAACCGTGACCACTAACCGGTATTTATAATTAATGCAATGTTTTATGTGTAAAAACTTCTTGTGTGCACACATAATTATGTAATATGTTATAGATAATATTTATTTCCCACCCAACTTCTTACAAGAAATTAGGAATGTTAATGAAGTCTCGTTTCTTGATGATATCGTTATAGTCATTTTTCTTCTCCGTTAGGTTACCAAATTATTAATGTCGTTGACATTAAAAAGTTACTATCTCAATACGAATCATTATTACTGTTATTAGAATATTCTTTAGTTGTGTAGTGGTAAATTCACTAAACTACTCTGTTAATAAATAAGTTTAAATTTTCTTATTTATTTTATAACATAGACAATTTTATAGTTAAACTTGGAGTTGGGTAAACTTTAGTTAAATATCGAACGACGTATTGAAATAAATAAATTATAGTTTCTTCAAATAATTTCCAGTCCACATTATTTGAATACAACTGTATTCGAGTGTGTAAGTGATTTAACAATGTAACATAACTTAAAACGGTGAAATTTAAAAATTACAAATAGCAAAACATTATTCGAATAATACTTTTAAAAAAAAAGGAATATCATTAACTTATTTTTATTCTTTCAATCGAATAATGTCCATCTCTGGTTGAGCTTTCAATAACAGAAAAATTTAAAAGCATCGCGCACCGTTCTTCTAATATAATGTTCTTACAATACAGTATTCTTTGTAAGAACCCAAAAAGTAGTATGTATGTATCTGTATCCTATTTGAAGTTTAAATTTACATTTTTACTATAGAGGTCCCATTCGGATAACTCTCAAGGGTCACGTCACGTGTGTTTTAAACTTCAAGACATTGGATAGTTACATTAGGGAATACCTTTTGTTTTTTTTTTACTTCGACATCTTACAAGTTCATCTATAATCTAGTTCGTAAATAAACTATTTTATAGCATTTAGGAAGTTCTTGTGCACATTTATTTTGCAAGCGCACGACTAGAAAACGTATTTTATAATCAACATTTTATTGAAAGTGTTTCAATTGAATTTTAAAGATTAAATATAAAATCGAAAATTATAATAATGTTAACTTATTTGTTCTGATAAAGTTGAATGATATCAAACAATTAATAGACTACTTAAATATTATATAATCGCAATGTCATAACCATTAAGCATTATTCAAAAATCAAATAAACCTAATACAAAATTAAATAATACAAGTTAAATTAAAGCATAATGTGTTACACAAACATATGTCATAATATAGTTATTAGTTAATGATAAACAGAGTTCAGAGTTGAGCATTATTCGATTGAAAATATAAATATACTAAATACCATTAAATAATTAAAATTGTGTCCAATAACTTTATTCGAATAATGTTATTTGTAATTTATTTGAATACAGATTTATAATTAATTATAATAACCATTTATTCGTATAATGTATAATGTCATTTGAAAATTATCTAATAAAATATTATCTTATCTACTAGTTACTTTTTATTTCAGTTAAAATGATTTTCTAGCTTCGGTGCAGAGCATTTTAGTTTTTATTCGTTATTTAATTAAATTTTGCACAACACTCATGACAAATATACAAATATAGGGGAAAACAATTTAATTATATTATAATGAAATGAGGCGAAAATATGGAAAAGCAATTGTGTTTTTATTAATAATAATAATTATACCTAGTAGTGTTTTGTTTAACTGTAAAACAACATCGCTAAGTTTAAATTTAAATTTAAATTTAAAATTATTGATTATTGTATTTCAAAAATGATAGCACCCTCTACTATAATCTTAATAGTTGTTTGTACACAACTTAGTAGGTATAAGAAGAATATATAAATTATAACCTAATTTATTATAATACCAGATATGAGCATTGCTCAGTTTTTATTTGTATCATCTCGATTGTATTTTTTATTACATTAAATAATATGGTAATGCCATTGTAATTATGCTGGAATAACTAAATAAACGTACACAAATAAAAATGTAGTCAAATATTGCCTGTATTTTGCCCATAAATAAGTAGTCATTTCCAATCGAATTTTTGGAAGGTGCGGCGTCATCTTAATAATCTTATTTATAAGAGAGTATTTGAGTAATAATGCAAAACCAATGTAGCCCAAATGTTTGATACATTTATTTTTCACTATTTTCGACGGATTCGTTTTCTCCTAGCGGTAAACAAATTATGTTAATAAAAAATCAAATAGGTAGGCATTGTGAAAAGTGAGAAAATTGTGCACATGAAACATTTCATACCCAGTAAAATTGCTGCCGACATTGGTACCAGACCGCACAAAGGGATCGCAGCGTGCCGATATTGGTGAGGGATGAAATCGCGCGGCACCTACCTACAGAGTGTACAGCTGCTGAGGGTGGCGGCGGCGGCGGCGGCGGGTGCGACGGGGTTTGGAAATCATTTTTCTCTTCCATGACACACATAGCCCCGTACGCATGGGCCAGCCGCCAGCAGGTGCCGGCCACGGCTACCAACGGCGGCCGTTCATGCGCGCGCCACCTTCGTGTCGACGACGGCGGACGGCCAGTTTGTTTACTCCGGCCGTATCGTTCGATCGTACAATGCTGACTCTTTGTGTTGTTTTTCGGTTCGTTCCAGCTCCAATTCCAGCCTGATACGCGATATTATGTTTTGACCGAAAATAATCAACGACCACCGTAAACACTTCCAAGTTCTACTCATACGTTGTCGTCAGCTGTTCCTATCGGTGGTTTTACTGCAATATTAATAATAATTTAGTATTATTATCTTTTTAACAATATAACAATATATACTATCTTTTATTAGACAGTATAATTTATATATATTCCCGAGATAGTGTGATACATTGTGATTTTTCTAAGAGTGTACGATTTTGTTTTAAAAATCGCATTAAATATAGCTACCGCAAGATCCAAGTTATCGCGCGTTGCTGTTCGGATAGTCGGTGATCGCCTCGCGTCGTTTCTCGTTTGAAAAACCAAAGTAAGAATGCACGGAAAATACATTTTAGTAGATTAGCTCAGGCATTATAATAGGTAATAGGTATTACAATATTAACAAATAATATCATTTCGTTTATTGTCACTCGGACATATTTTGCTTATCGCGTTCACATCCCTTGCATAGAACACTCACTAAAACCAACCATAGATAATAATGTTTGTCACCGTTCTGATAGTAGATATATTTATTATTTTGTAATATAAGGATAAAATATCTGGTTATAAACGAAAAGAGTTAAGCATAAAAATGTTGTCTAAAATCATTTAAAATTTCAGTACAAAAAATATATTATTGCGCAATATATATTTATAAATTGAAGAATACACACAATATTGTATTAAAAAATTGCTACAACAGTAGAAGAAATTCTGTGTTTCTCCTTGGTTTTCTTTTACTATTGTACTCAAAGGCTAAAATGTATAATATATTTCTTGTCTAACCTTATCATAAGGTGCTTACAGGTTGATGAATTGAGTGAAGTGTGTCTAAAACAGGTTAATTAATTGTTATACAAGTATTCCTAAAAAAGGTAACTAGGTAAAGACATCACCTTTGACCTATTCAGAACCCCCAAAATATTTTGAAATCTACTAATGCTCAACACATAACTAATATAGAAAACATATTGTAACAACTTAAGATAGGACTTGACAAAGTTCAAATAATGGTCTGTTTGATAGTTGCACAGCTTTATAATATCTTCTACCTGAGTAAACGTGAAAAATCCATAATTAAACGAAACTAAAGTGATCTGTGATAAATAACAAAAAAAATAATGATAAACACAATAGTCATAGTAAAAACAAAATATTTATTATTTATAGCATGTGTGTTCAATCAAATAGTTTATAATTAGTGTATAGAAGATAATATAGTCTGATTTATTTATGAGTGTTATATCATTTCAATTGATTTATACTCATATAGTGTATCTACTTATCTGTCTACGATAAGTAATAAATTTAAAATCAATACATTTTAATTACCGATATTGAGATTTACCTAATTTTACATGTTAAACAATTTATATTGTTGTATTACTGTAATAATAATGTTTTTAACTAACTTAATGAGTGTATACAATGTAATCATTTATTAAGTATACTATCTTGTGGATAATCAGTTATTAAATTATCGATAGACTTTAAAATATTTAATTAACTGTTTATAAAACAAAAAACTACTATACTTTATTATAAGAATAATAATTTCTATCATTTTTTATTCATTTTGTTCAATACTTTTTAAAATATTTTACCTAAAATGCTCATGTCGCTAGTGATAATATAATATTGGATTTTGTTTAGATCACTGAAAAAAAAATACCTATAGATTAGTTTTAAACATGACTGATTTTACTATTAAAAAATACCAATAATTTAGTAAAAATTAGTTTTTGGGTTTTGTTCACTGCTTATACCTACGATTTCTGTGGTTGTTAATATGTACTTTGTAAATATCGTCGCAGTAACTAGTTTAACATATTTGACGTAGGTATTTGACTTTTTTAATTAAAGATTATCACATACCAAGTTGTAAACTTAGTATGTTGTATGAATTTGAAATTGTAAAAACAACTCAATATATTTACTATATTTGAACAGTACTTTACATTTCCAGCCTATTTAAACTATGCCAAGGTACTTCTTGGGTAGCGGCGGGACATTTGCATTAAATCAGTTGCTGTTTTCATATGCAGCATTACTTATGTGTACATCGTAAAATCAATAGTTGTATTACATGGAATCAAGTAGATGTAATAATAGTAGCCGTATAAATTAAAGTTACAAATTATTTATTTCTATGAATTGCATGCCTGTTGAGTATTAATTATTTATAGCTTCGATGTGAGTTGAGAATTGTTTCTTACAATAATTATGTGATTATTTTTTAATAATAAATTACTATACCGTTTTCTTCATGTAGGAAGTCTGTAAATCAGGAATCGTACCTGAAAGGTACTTTATTGGTCCAAAAATGTAAAATGTTCATATCTTCATATATATAAATGTTTCAACTTAAAATTATGGCCCATATAACTTTCTTAAAAATAGTCTAAATAGTTCCAAATTTGCATGGAATATTATGTAAATACAAAACTATTGATATAAGTTGTCAAACTGAAAAATAATAAAACCTTTTTTCTTAGAAAAGGGTAGGCATTTTTTTTTAATATCATATAGCTTTATGACTCGAATTCTGAAAATTATACTAATGAAAGATCTAAAGTGGGGCTTTAACAAATGAAAATGTTTTAAAAATCTGTATTCAAACTGTTTATTTAATCCAAAAATAAAAGGGAAATTACGCTGATGGTTGATCGTTGTAAATGTCTAGGTTTCTATGTGTGAGTACATTAACAGTCAACAGGTATTCAAATAATTCTTTCATTTTGTTGTTTAATTTGCCAACTGGTAACACCGGCAAAGAATTAGGAAAGACAGACGACCAACCCTAATCGCATCCACCATAATACAAAAATACAATTTTAAACATATTTTTTCGTTATTACAACGCTTTTATCTATTTTTTAATATTTCCATCAGCATTGAAGCACTTGAAAGTGATTTTATTACTTTAGGCTACAATAATTCCTGTGACCATGTGACCTCTTCAAGTCCAATATGCTCTGTTCTGAATATTCCTAAATTCCACTGTGTTAGCTTTTTTTTGTAATTAGCCACTTTGACATAAAAAATAATTTGTTAGTAATTAAGAATCAAACTCTGAACGATACCACACAAAATTAAATTAACTTGAGTAAAAAATGACTTTTTTATTAATTGATAAAGAGTTATATTAAATTTCAATACATTAAATGTTATGCCATACAAAGCAAATATTATGAAGTACATTTTGAAATTTCGGTGTAAGTATGAGTTACGACTTATTAACTAACAATACTATTTGATTGTATATAAAAATTAATTTATACATATTACTTAGGTAGTTAACTAATTATGGAATATTAATACTTCGCATAAATAAACTTTTAGGAAAGTCACTTTTGTGAACTACCTAACATTTTAAGTGAATTCTAAAACAATTTATCAATTTATAAAATAAAAAAAAATGACATTTTCTATAAACTTTGATGAGACGATTATTAAAACAATTATTCAATGCAAAGAAACAACCATTATGATTATTTCAAAGTCAGCCTATACGTTATTAGTAAATATTATCAGCTTTAATTTTTGTAATTACAAAATGTGACACGAACAGATAGCTCACGAAAGTAACTCTTTAAAAGTATGTTTGCACTACGCTTTGGGTGATAGGCAAACCATTTACTATAGCGGCCTTTTCAGTTTAAATTTGTTGGTAGATGTAGAGATGAGTTTCAAATTCGGTTACTATATTTTAATATTTTACTACTACAGTTTTCAGCCATAGATTAAATGCTTTGAGAATTTAAAGGATTAGAGATTAGCTATAATTGTAGGGTTCATTTTTTATTATAGCGGTATCACGATAAAAGGTTTTCTTGGAAATTAATAACACGAAATAATGAAGGGTCATTAGGTCAGTTTTAGGGTCATATAGGAAACAAAACTATATAGTTGACGGCATAAAATTTAAATAATTAAAATGTATTATCAAAAACAACCACACTTCAATGGTTGTCGATATTATTCCGAGTATGTTGAATAAGTAAATTTCATTAAAAATATATTTGAATTTTGACAGCCTTTTACGACTCGAAGTGTATTTTATCAACGAGTTATTTTGACTATGAGCCGTAAAAATACTCGGTTCGTCCTTAATTTTGGGAACCCATTAAAATATTTATAAACATTTTATTCGTGTTGAGTAAGTGTATAGTTTATTTTCCGCTATAAAACGTCATCATTAACCAACTAAGACGTCATAAGCAATAATCTTGTCGTAAAAGTCGTACAATTTAACATGTGAGAAATGAAAATTAAATTATGTATAGGTCTGTACAGCGATATCATGGGCAGTAATTTAAGAATAAGACGTCTTAAATTAACGTGTTTATTATGGCAGAAAAATGAAAAAAACCTATCTCAGTGGTGTCGGGGCTTATCGGGGACAGCACACGAAGAAATCGGTTCGCGTGGGTCTTAGCTCCGTATCGAATCTAAAAAATAATATAGCTTTTATTTACATCCATATGTTTACGATTGGTTTTCATCGACTATAACTACTGCCGTCATCAGATAACAGCTTAATATTCGTCGTCCTCCTTTTAATGGGCGAAAAAAAATCAAACCTGTTGACGATTTACCAGAAGCGGCGGCTAGGAATATGATCGTAGAGGAATAACTACTCTTCTTATATTCGCTATATATATATATATATATATATATATACAAACCGGAGAATTATCGTGGATGTTTGAGATCATTAGTGAAGGAAGCCTGTTGTAAACTACGATCAAACGGTCTGATGACAATTTATCTGATTGGACCACCCATAATGACGTTATAATATGGAAACCCCTTTATATAGTCCTTCTACCAAACGGGGTGTATATGTCTTGCGTGTACGTTTCCAGTTTTACTGCTATATCCAAAAATTATGTCCTCATTAACGTATACATCACATATATACCGCATTGGTCGTGTGTATCGTGCGTTACATATTATTATTATGTGAAACCGCCGCTGAGGTATATTCTACCCATACGGATTGGATGAAAAATAACTTCATTCTCATATAATAAATATATATATATATATATATATATATATATATATATATATATATATATATATAGGATATCTTTCATGTACAAGAAAGGCCAAGGACAATTAAACTGGTTTCGCCTGGTCACCGGGTAGCCTGCTGTTCCTCCGTCGCCGCCGCCGCCACCGTCGTGAGAATAGGTATTACCAAGTCAATAGCGATATGCAGTATGGATATTAAAAACCAATCTGGATTTAATACATTACATAAATGGGAATATATATTATATATATATATATATGTATTATATATAAGATGGCGGCTAT